CACATGAGCCATGTTGTGGGCTCCCCTGGACCCATGCTCAGGCCCAGTGGCAATTTTAAACCCGGTGGCAGTGCTGGGGTTCAGGTCTCCCCGGTCTACACTAGGACAGCCTTGGGGCTACTCCAACTCTGCCCCCTTGTACTCCTGTGTCCCATGACCCCTTCCCCCATGGCCAGGATCAGGGGCCCTTTCCCAGCCTCGAGCAGCCCCTCACTTGGCTCTGTGTCCCCACAGTGGCCCATCGGAGATCAGCAGCCTCCCCCAGAGGAAGCCAAGGACCCAGGTGAGTGGGGAGGGACTGGGAAGAGCCTTGGGGGGGGTAAATGGTGCCCAACGGGACTCAAGCCGACTGCCTCCCCTGCCCTTGTCTGTTTCAGGCTGCAGAGCAGCCGTCCAGTATCTACAGCCCAACATCCCCAGGGCAGACAGCCCGGCAGCAGGGTGAGTGCCGGCCAGGCTCTGGCAGAGGAGAGTGGGGGACAGCAGTGGGGCCTGGTGGGTCAGAGAAGGTGGGTAGGGCTGGGAGTCCAGGACTCCTGGGCAAGCCGACTGCCTCCCCTGCCCTTGTCTGTTTCAGGCTGCAGAGCAGCCGTCCAGTATCTACAGCCCAACATCCCCAGGGCAGACAGCCCGGCAGCAGGGTGAGTGCCGGCCAGGCTCTGGCAGAGGAGAGTGGGGGACAGCAGTGGGGCCTGGTGGGTCAGAGAAGGTGGGTAGGGCTGGGAGTCCAGGACTCCTGGGTTCTCTCCTCAGCTCTTGCAGGGGACACGGGCCTCCAGGGGCAGCAGATCCTGTTTGAAAGGACCTAGTGCCCCTAGGCCTCAACTGTGCTATGGGGGAGGAGGGAGGCCATGGGGTGAGATGACACCTTTCTTCCCCTCCCCCTAGAGTCGCTCCCCTCCCAGGTCTCCAGCCCCCCAGGACGGGAGGCAGGTTTGGCCCAGAAGCCCAGTAGTTTCCTCTTCCGCTCCTCCTCACGCAGCGCTGTGAAGCCCAGCTCCGGTAGGTGGGCAGCTCTGTGCCCTCCCCCTTGCTGGTGGGCTGAGGTATTGTACCTGCTAGATCTGCAGGCCTGGGGTTTGAATCCCAGTGTGGCCTGTGGATCCATTCCCTGCCTGCCTGCTGTCTGTGTTCCACTGAGCAACGCTGTCCCCCCCACAGCCTGTACCCCCCACGACGCCTCCCCAGACCTCTTGCGGCTCCGGGCTGGCTCGCACGACCAGGATGAGAAAGAGTTAACGGCCCAGCTACGCAAGGTATTGGGCCCCCCAGCTCAGCTTTCCCGTGACTGATCTCTGAGTGCTCAACCACCTGGTTAACCTGTGGCGGGACCCTGGGGAACCTCATGCACTCCCCCCTTTCCCCTCGGCCCCTGGCCCCCCTGC